TAAAGGTAGTCTTAAGGCTGACGCTCACTAGACGGAAGCGCGACGGAGCGCAAGGCAGCGCGGCGAAAAGGAATTTTTATAATACATAGTTTTAAATGGGAGCGCGCTCACTTGGCGGAAACGCAGCGGTCGGCAGCGAAACGATTTAAAACTATGTATTATAAAAATTCCTTTTCGCCGCGCTACCGTGCGCTCCGGCGCGCTTCCGTCTAGTGAGCGTCAGCCTTTAAGGACTTGTCTTGATTTAATCCTATTGTATAGAGTGTATCTAATAATAATATAATAATGGATCCCGTATACAGCGTTTAACGCCTTGGGAGTAGCAAGGTACAGCTTGCCATGCTAGAGCCGTTCGGTATACAAGGAAGGTAATGTGGCTAGTACTACGCTGTAACCGCCTATTATTACCTCAGGATTGTGAATCCCAAGTACTCATTTAAGGCTGAGTCGACCTAGGTGCCCAAACTATTTTTATTTTATTAAAAATAGTCGACTGATGAACTACCGGCTGCGGCTGTAGGATTCGAACCTTCTTCGAACCTTCGAACCACCTTTAGATTGGTAGACGAGAGCTGTACCTCTACACCACCGGGTACCATCTCAGATGGATAATATGTTTAATATAGCTTGGGCAGTGATATAGCTTTAAAAGATAATTTAATTAGTCAAGATTAAATTATCTTTTAAAGATTAAAGCTAAACAAACTGCCCAAACTATATTAAACATATTAACCATATGAGATACACTCTATATAATAGAATTACATCAAGACAAGCCCTTAAAACTATCTTTAATTTAGTTCATTTATCTCCAACTGAGAACTCTGCAAAACTACATTTACTCAGGACCCAGTTACCTGAAAGTATGTCCTGACCCAGGATATACTTTCAGGCAACTGTAAAGATATATCAATTATAGGAAATGTTATAAGTTGATTGGTAACAAGTTAGATCCTTTATAGTATGGAAGAAAGATAATCTGACATCTAATCAATCAACAGAAGATGTAGCGCCTTTTGATCTACTAAAATTATTTTTTTACAATTGCAAAGAGAGTCAGTGCTCTAAAAATTGCTCTTGTAGAAAACTGGGTCTTAAATGTTCTTCAAATTGTGGTCAGTGCTACGGAATCAGTTGCACAAACTTTTGTATTTTAGTGGAGGACGAAAATGACACGCAGGATGACGTCGTAGCAGATTTTATTTAAAACTTTAATTTAATAATAACTTTTTTAACGATAATTTCATTTAATAAATAATATTTAAACGTTATTTTTAATTGTTTTGATGCATAAATTTATACTTGTGGTTTATCTCTATTAACGCTATACTGTTAACGCAAAAATTATAGCTGATTGGTTTAAAAAACTGGAAAATTTATAAAACGTATAGTAAAAAATTCTCTATCTCTATTACTATTAATTTAGGAGAAAAATGATTGAAGGTAAAATATTCTAAATTTAATTCTCTACAAAAAATATATCTTTAGATTTTTCGAAAAAAGTTATGCAAACGGAGATATTTGAAAAAAACGAAAAAATCCAAGATGGCGGCGGTTTTTTTCAAACTTCCCCCACTGGGACCGAATGGGACTTTTAAGGGGTTAAATAGGAGATCATTATCTACACATTCCCGTTGAGATCGGTTGGTTACTCATTTTTTCCACCTCAACCTCCAGATGGACTGGCCTATACTGCGATTTTCGATTTTGCTGCGATTGTGATTTTGTAAACTGGGACCGTGATTTCTATCTGCTGCTGAATTTTGGGAGTTGCGATTTGCGATATTGTTGCGAATGTAATTTTGTGGTCTATTGAAGCATTTTATAGTTCTGCGAATATTCTCTCTGATATTATTTATTTATAGAGAAGGTATTATTTTCTAGGGCCACGATCATAATATACCGGATGTTTCTCAATAGTGGTTCCAGGAGCTGCGATTTGCGATATTGTTGTGAATGTAATTTTGTGGTCTATTGAAGCATTTTATAGTTCTGCGAATATTCTCTCTGATATTATTTATTTATAGAGAAGGTATTCTTTTCTAGGGCCACGATCATAATATACCGGATGTTTCTCAATAGTGGTTCCAGGAGCTGCGATTTGCGATATTGTTGCGAATGTAATTTTGTGGTCTATTGAAGCATTTTATAGTTCTGCGAATCTTCTCTCTGATATTATTTATTTATAGAGAAGGTATTATTTTCTAGGGCCACGATCATAATATACCGGGTGTTTCTCAAGAGTGGTTCCCCTATAACTTTTTTATTTTTTTCTTCTGATAAAAAAACGAGATTCGGTATGTTAGTATGACATAAATTAGGACTGATTGCAGAGCTGCAACAAGTCAGTTTTAAAAAGACTTTCAAGTCAGTTTTAAAAAGAAATTCTAAAATCAAAATGATTTGTCTTAAGTCAGTTTTAATATAAAGTTCAAATGACTTAAGTTTTAAGTCTTTGACTTAAGTCATTTTCTTTCAAGTCAAGTCATTTTTGTAAAGACTTAAATCAATATAACGTTATTTAAGTCTTTTTTTGACTTAAGTCTTTTTTTACTTAAATCGTGATAATCTGCAAGGTAAGTCAGTAAAATGTCTTAAATCAATATAATTTCCCTCAGAAATGATACTTTTAAAGTAAGAAAAAGCGTTCATTAGTGGCATAATTAAAGCACATAAACCCCAATTTTCAAATTTAAATTTTTATATTTTGAACAATTTTTTTAGAATGTTTGATAAAATTGGAGAAAATGAAAAAATGCGGATGTCAGAAAATTGTAGGAAGAATAATTATTCAAAATAAAAAAATATGATTAAACATTGGACTCTCAAAACGTGTATAACAGGTGATTCTGGTGTAGCTGTGCAATCGTGTGTAGCAAAATACACAATTGTGTAGCTTGTAGCTGTTAAAAATTTATGATCAAAACATATGAAAAACTTTAATCTTTTCTAAAAAGATATAAATATCATAAAAGACATAAGATTTTAGAAATCTTCTAAAAGATTTAAGTCTTTTGTAAAAGACTTAAGTCATTAAAAAAAGATTTAAATCTCTTTTACTGACTTAAATCTTTTCTAAAAAGACTTAAATCTCATAAGACATAAATCTTCTAAAAGATTTAAGTCTTTTGTAAAAGACTTAAGTCATTAAAAAAAGATTTAAATCTCTTTTACTGACTTAAATCTTTTCTAAAAAGATTTAAATCTCATAAAAGACATAAATCTTCTAAAAGATTTAAGTCTTTTGTAAAAGACTTAAGTCATTAAAAAAAGATTTAAATCTCTTTTACTGACTTAAATCTTTTCCAAAAAGACTTAAATCTCATAAAAGACATAAATCTTCTAAAAGATTTAAGTCTTTTGTAAAAGACTTAAGTCATTAAAAAAAGATTTAAATCTCTTTTACTGACTTAAATCTTTTCCAAAAAGACTTAAATCCCATAAAAGACATAAATCTTCTAAAAGATTTAAGTCTTTTGTAAAAGACTTAAGTCATTAAAAAAAGCTTTAAATCTTTTTTAATGACATAAATCTTTTCCAAAAAGACTTATGTCTTTTAGAATACTTAAATATTTTTCTAATGACTTAAATATTTTTTTTTTATTTCGGAATAAAGACTTAAGTCACAAGTCATTTTGAAAATGACTTAAACTTTAAGCCTTAAGTCAGCTTTCGAAATATGACTTAAAATCAAATGATTTAAGTCATTAAAATGATTTAAGTCAAAAAAGACTTCAGTTTTCTGTGAACCTGCAGCTCTGATTGATTGACATATTCAATTGTTTTTAGTCACTTCACCGGAAATGACTACAACTTTTGTTTTTTAAATAACATCCTCGGTTTCATATGGCAACTTTTGACATTTTTGCTTAAAAAAATATTATTTTAAATTTCAATCTAGAATGTCATGGCTGTGTTAAAAACACTAATTTTGTGCACTAATTTAATCAAAATGCCTTGGAAAAATAGATTTGATCGTCTGTGGTTTTTCACGTTTGGTCCTGGCCATTTAAGATATGCCCAAATCGTAACATATCTCAATTTTTTCAAATGGAACGAGGGTGACTCAGTGGCATTTTGAAAAAACATTTTTTTACAAATAATTTGGTTTGGTAAATACTAAACTCGCAGTCGCAGGTTACAGTTACTGCGATTTAAAAATCACAATCGCAGTTTCAATTGCGACTTGAGAATCGCAGTGTTACTCATCTCTAATCTCTAGTACCTAGTGTTTGCGGACAGCAACTGAACGCCCCGAATTTAGAAATCCAGCTTATAAATGCAAAAATGTTGAACCTCAACTGTCGTGAACATCCAACTGCAACTGAACTTCAACTGAACGTCAACTCCCGAGTTCATAAGTCCAGCTGTTTATAATCCTGGCAGGCGGCAGCCTAACATAATTTGTTCTCTTATCTCCGGTTAGAGAAAAGATGGAAAGTTGAGGTTTGCGTTGATATTTTGTAAATTTTGTGCTCTATTTAATTGTTCAAAAACATAACCTGCTATTTAATTGAATTTGCTACTAACCCAAACCAGAGTTTTATCCTAATTTTAATAAAAGCAAGTTTAACCTTCCCCCACCAATTTATTTTATGAGACAGAGCAAACTACGCTATTGCAAAAAAGATTACAAATTTCCCAGATTACAATAGCAATATTTAAAATACCTCTTGAACCTTTGAATATTTTTAAGAAAAATACAGTTTTCTGATGGGCCATCACAGATGCGCCCCCTAGCGAACATTTGTCGTACGTGTAAATCATTTCCAGCGATTTCCCGTGGCTGATTTACTTATTACACTTTTTTCCCATAAATTATACGATAAGTAGTTTCTGAGATACAGCCAGTACATACATATACCATGTAGAAAATATATTTATTTTTTTGTCTCAGAGATTCTATTGGAATATTGAAACCCATCGTATTATTGTTTTAGTATAAGCCTTATTCAATAGGTTGTTATTAAATGACATAAAACCAAATGGAAAAACATTACCATCAGGCTGTTTCATTCCTGGAGTAATAGCCCGTAAAAAATCAACTGGTGTCATATATACCTCATGGTTCTCTCCATGAGATAACTTAATTGTTGCAAAATACCTAAATATTTTGTCTGGAGTTGAATAAGCTCTCATACGGTTTTCATATTCTATAATCTAATATTTCAAAAAATACTTAATGCAAAAACAAAACAGAAATGAAATTTAAAATGTCACCTTTCTATCTCTAAATCCAATTTTATCTTTTTTCATTTTTTTCTTTTTTAAATCTTCTGTGATTTCCTCAGCATCGTTTTCTACGGATTTAAATACTTCTTCATCAGCTCTTACAACAAGACATTTATAGTAATTAGAACTGAAATAATATCTAATTTAAGTTAAACATAATCAAATGCAGATAAAATATTACCAATATAGAGCCGGTATAACAGGTATAATCATAAGTAATAACATGAACTTTCTGGAATATGTATTCTTTTCTCTAAATTTAAAATTCGGGATAAGGTTACTAAAATTTTGTTTTCTAAACTTTATATTATATGTAGTAAATAATTGAGTACTATTTCTATAATATTTTGTGTTCAATTTAAGGAAAACCGTTCCCAATTTAAGCGACTTTAAATAACTCATTTTATAAATATATCACAAAAATACATACAATCAAGTCACAGAACACGAATCAAGTTTTATAACTCTGTTTATAATTATTTAATTTGTTCCAATTCTAGAGGTGGGTTGTGAAATCGCAGTCCGCTACTTTGTCACAGCTCCACCAACGTCGCAGTATGTGACTGCTCCAGTTCCAAGAAAATCGCAGTGACATTTCGGAGCAGTTTACAAGTTTAGGACATCTGCGCAATAGGAGCAATAGCAGGCAATAGTGTAAATTCTGAAAATGCTCCTAGCCCCGTCGCCCGGTCAGACTGTTCCAGTCACAGTTGTCGCAGGTCGCAGTCGACTGGAGCGTAGTATCACAAGAATAGATATCAACCAGAAGCCTAACTTAGAGTTTGCGCGGGAAACATCGCCTAACCTAAAAATAGCGGTAGAACCTGTCAACGCACTGGCGTTCGCAGTTCACTTATGTTTTGCGTTTTGCTGAGAGCAGTAGCTGTTCGTCATTCGTAAATATTGAATATTATAGTTTGGGTTGTTTTATAACCGAACGGAGCGAATAGTCTGGAATAGTTATTAAATATTTGTTGTGCTAGGTACATTATTTATAATAACTTCAAAGAGTACTGGTTCAGTTTGTGCCTCAAGAATGTGCAAAAGCCGGAGTTATGTTTCGCCAGGACGCAAAATGTTTTACGATACGTTTGTGGATATTTAATAAAAAAATGACAGTTTTCTGATGGCCATCACAGATGCGCCCCTCTAGCGAACATTTGTCATACGTAAAGCTTGTTTCATATAGACGCGAATCGCGAATTGCGATTTTGCGAACTGCTCTCATTGGTCCAATTTTACTGATCATGGTGGCGCTGTCATAAATTTTAAGATTTTGGCGATTCGCAAGATTTAAAATTTGGGGGGCGGGAAAGTTAAAGTGTTTTCAACTTTTTGCGAATATTCGCGCGATTTTAAGGTACGCGTTTGCGCAGAATGGTGTTGTGATCCGGTTATCGATTATTTTGACGACGCTGCCGCAAAGTAACTGAAAGCATTTCTCCAGTTGAAATGGGTTCTCGTACATAATATGTTTTTGATATATATGGCGACAATTTTTCAACTTCAACCAAGTTATCAAACTCCTATACAGACAATCTGTGAAAATTCCTAAATTTTTTCTCATTTTTCTTCCTTATTTTTTGAATTAAACTGCGACAAGCACCTTGTTGCTTACGAAATTTGAATATTTCACATGTCCCAAATGGCCCATAAATGACCTATAAACCTGTGCTATAAACCCATTCTCTTCTACGTTTTAACAATAAGTAAATGGCAATTTTACACCTTATTCTATTCCAATCCCACAATCGTAATCGATATTCATAATTATTAAACAAATTTAAACTCATATTGTATGCTATAAAATATAAAATAAAGATCGTAAACACGAATAAATATGTATAAAACAAATTAAGTTATCTCAGGTTATGATTTTTTGGTAACTTTCAGTGAGCAAAAAATGAAATGTCCCTGTACCCGCGACTGTATGAAATAGGTCCAAATTTTGCGAATATTTGGCGAATCGCTTTTCGCAATTCGCGATTCGCGTCTATATGAAACAAGCTTAAATCATTTCCAGCGATTTCCTTTTTGGCTGATTTATTTGTATTACACTTTTTTCTCCCATAAATTATACGATATAGTTTCTGAGATACAGCCAGTACATACATATACCATGTAGAAAATATATTTATATTTTTTGTCTCAGAGATTCTATTGGAATATTGAAATCCATCGTATTATTGTTTTAGTATAAGCCTTAAGCCGGAGTCTCATGCATCCGAAACTGATGACACGACGATCCGACGGTGCTCCTATTGGTCGAAATATTTTGACACCAATTTTTATCCGATATTTTTAACTAATCGTCCGACGTCGTATAAAGTTAAATTTTGTTTAACTTTTGTACGATATCGTGTGTTTTTTAACCTCACTTTTTTTGAAAACATTGGTTTTTAAAAACAAGTTTAGTGGGAAGTGGGCAATTTCGGGATATTTGGCGAGGAAGTTATTTTTGTAAGTGTTTCTCCAATAAAACATGACATGAATCTCTATTCAATGCAGCAGAAAAATGGCAAAACTGTCAAATTTCGGAACGAACTTTCGGATGTATGTGACAGGCTTTTTTTATTTCACACGATAACTTCAATTTCGGATGTCGTAATTCATCGGATTTCTCGATGCATGAGACTGGCTTTATTCAATAGGTTGTTATTAAATGACATAAAACCAAATGGAAAACATTACCATCAGGCTGTTTCATTCTGGAGTAATAGCCCTTAAAAAATCAACTGGTGTCATATATACCTCCCATGGTTGTCTCCATGAGATAACTTAATTGTTGCAAAATACCTAAATATTTTGTCTGGAGTTGAATAAGCTCTCATAATGGTTTTCATATTCTATAATCTAATATTTCAAAAAATACTTAATGCAAAAACAAAACAGAAATGAAATTTAAAATGTCACCTTCTATCTCTAAATCCAATTTTATCTTTTTCATTTTTTCTTTTTAAATCTTCTGTGATTTCTCAGCATCGTTTTCTACGGATTTAAATATTTCTTCATCAGCTTCCTACAACAAGACATTTATAGTAATTAGAACTGAAATAATATCTAATTTAAGTTAAACATAATCAAATACAGATAAAATATTACCAATATAGAGCCGGTATAACAGGTATAATCATAAGTAATAACATGAACTTTATGAATATGTATTCTTTTCTCTAAATTTAAAATTCGGGATAAGGTTACTAAAATTTTGTTTTCTAAACTTTATATTATATGCAGTAAATAATTGAGTACTAGGAACCTATAATATTCAATGTGTTCAATTTAAGGAAAAACCGTTCCCAATTTAGACGACTTTAAATAACTCATTTTATAAATATATCACAAAAATACAAGTCACAGAACACGAATCAAGTTTAACTCTGTTTATAATTATTTAATTTGTTCCAATTCTAACTATGTATATTTGTGGATTTTTTTTGGTAGGTAATTGATGAAAATTTTAAGTGCAATATGTGTGCAGCAAAAATATCATAAAAAACACGCACTACAAATTTTAAAAGGCACATAGCATCGAAACACCCAACAGTTTCTTATTAAAAAAAAATTATTCCGCTATTTATTCTGTTTTTTATTAGAAATTTTGGGGTTGAGCTTCCCAAATTACAGCGTACCAATTTAAAAATATCAAAATCGCAATCGCAGGTTACAGTCGCAGCGATTTATAAATCACAATCGCAGTTTCAACTGCGATTGGAAAATCGCAGTTTTGCTCATCTCTAGTTAATATAATTGATGTAATATTAATCCACTAAATGTATGTCCGTTATGCTGTAATTATGCTGTACTTATGTTTTTTATTCTTAATCTAAGCTTATGCCTCTTAATTCGTAATTCCGTAACCTAATTTTTATTTTTTGTTATAATAAGTAGTATGGATGGGATTGTCGATATCGATATCGATCCGCCACAGAGGTTTCATCTTGCCTCTTCTTGGCTTCTTCCTTTTCCTGTGCATTCTTCCCAGAGATATAGAAATTCTTCCCTTTATTCATCCATTTGCATTCTTCTTTTGTAGTTATTTTGTGATTCTCTCTCTTTATTCTTGCTCTACGTGGCTCTATGCTCTATGTCCTCTATGTTTCTTGCATGTGTTTTGTGTTTCTTGCTGTGTAAATGATTTTATGTATACATGCTGTATACTTGCTGTTGTCTTGACTTTCTTGAATTTGTGATTTGTGTTATTTTTTAAAAAAAATTGTCTTGAAGTAAAACGGTATTAAAGATTTACATTGTAATTGTTACACCTTATAGTAAGGTTTATAATATATAATATTTATATTTTTAGTGGTATTTGGAATTATAATATGATATGGGTAATTTATAACAGAGTTTTTTTTTCATTTTAATTGAATTTGTATCAACAATGCAGAAATACAATTCAGGTGTTGGATTGAACAATTTTGATACAATTTGTAGAGCTTGTTTAATTGAAAGCGCCGAATTACAACTTATACATGACATAAATTTAGGAGTACCAAATAATGAAACGAAGCTTGATATAATAGCTTTGTTTAAAAAGTATTGTGATATAGATGTACGTTATTTACGAACCTTATATTCAGTTTTTTAAAAATGTATTTTCAGGTAAATCATTTAGACAACAAACCACAGAAAATATGCAAATTATGTATATCACTATTTTCACAGTTTTACTGTTTTCTTGAAAAAGTAACACTTTCAAATCAAATATTTGATACACTTTTGGGTAATGTAGTCTCTCAGAATAGTTGTTTGGATTTAAAAGATGAAATTGAAGATATAAAATCAGAAGTACTCAGTGAAAAACAAATAATTTTGAATAATAAAATTGAAGATGGCAGTGAAACTTATATTAGTGATACTGGTGAACAATACACGAATAGCGACAATGATTTAGATTGTAAACCATCAAAAAATGAGTTCAGTAGTGAAGATAGTAATGTTAAATTAGAAGTATCAACTAATAAATTGAAAGTAGAAAGAAAAAAATCAAGTAAGAATATTATATCTTCTAATTATAATTACATATTAAAAAATCTTAAGGTATTTATGATTTAACAGTTCTATATTTCTAATTAATCAATGTGCGCGTTCAGGGACGGTCAGCGGCTGAGTGGCTGAGTAAGCGATTTCCCTAAACGGTCCCTTTTTACATGCAAAAACAGTCAGCCGCTGTGTTCCCTAAATGCGCACAATGTTTTTGCGGTACACAGTTAATTGTATTATAGAAAATTATTTTAGTCTTTTGTTTGTCAAGTCAATCATTTTTTTACGATAAATAGGTGGATTTTTTGTTGCCAATATTCTTACTCCCTTATGATAAACTTGGTATCAAGAGTGGTATCATAATTAAAGATATTTAAACACTTGTCACTTGGTCTCGATCTGTCAGTTTCAAGCTCTCGAGAGCTCTTCATCTATCTTTGTTTTTATATCCAAGTGCCATCAAGTGTGAAGTAAACATTATTATTATTTTATCTTATTGAAATATTCTTTTTTTTTAAATTTTGTTTGAAAAATATTCTGTTTGATATAATAACAGCCAACCAAAATATGTTAGTAGAAAATATATACAGGGTGTTTTGAAAAAACATGTGCCATTTCTAGTGGGGAGATTCTTATGTAAAAATAAGATTTATTTTACATATCAACATAGGTCCAATTCTGCTTTGTTTCGTAGCATCAGCGTGTTAAAATTTCAATATTTTTTTGATTTATTCTAATTTTCTTCCAAGTGCTTTCAGCGTTTCGAATGAAATTTTGTGGGTACAAGTTGAGACAATTTTAAAGTTAAAAAATGTCGACATATTCACCAGGAACGTGCATATGGGTTATCACTGGAATATTTTTCCAAAAAGAGCATGTATGCCACTATGTTTTTTTTTCTCTTGTTAGCAAAATAGTGTAAGCAGTTTAATGCCGATTAAAATTTGTCTCTTATTATTTTGTCAATTTCGGCCTCCCTGATGATAAATATGATAAACGCAACTTTATTAAGCTACAATTTCCTAGTGACGTCTGGATCGGCGTCTCGCCGCACACTGGTTCGTTTTTTGAACTTACTGGGTGGCCAACTAAGAATGGACGCCGGCTGTATCTCAGAAACTACTTATCGTATAACTTTGGGAAAAAAATTCTAATAAGTAAATCAACCAAGAGAAATCGCTGGAAATTATTTTCAAGTACGAAAAATGTCCGCTAGGGCCAGGGGGCGTTTCTCTGATAGCCAATCAGAAAACAGGGTTTTTCTCAAAAATATGCAGGTGAACAGGTATTTTAAATATTACTACTGTAATCATCGAGAAATTTGTAATTTTCTTGATATAGAGTATTTTGCTCTAACTCATAAAATAAAGTGGTGGGGGAAGGTTAAACTTGCTTTTATTAACTAGGGCTCGTTTAAAAGAGCTTTTCTCCCTTAATGATCTCCAGTATAAATTTTTTCGTGGTAGCTAGAGGGCGCTGTTTGACATCATAACAGATATTGCGTTTAAAAAAAAATGAAATAGGAGGCTATATTTCTCTTTGCACAGTTAAATGGAGCACAAAATTCTCAAAAAATCAGCGCAAACCGCAATTTTCTATCTTCTCTCTAACCGGAGATATTAAGAGAAATCATGTTCAGCTGCCGCTTAGGATTATATAGTCTAAAAGTTATAGTAGTAGGCTAGGAAACAAAAAGAGGTAAATTGGTTACTTCAAAATATCAAAATAATTAAGTTCAGTTTTCATGCATCCGAATTTCGGGCGTTTTCTTAAAAAATGACGTCATACGTTTTTAAACGTGTTTATGTAACATTATCGTCCATACATATAATTTTTACGAATTTCTTCGTTAATTATACGTAGGTAGTTAGCAAGGTTATTATACTCTAAAGGTTACCTCACCTAATGGTACGTATACATTGGCATATTTGTATAAAACTTTGGATTTTTAGTTTGTATCCTAAGTACTTACTATACTAACATACCAAATCTCGTTTTTTATCTAAAAAATTAAAAAAGTTATAGAAGTGAACCACTTTTCAGAAACACCCGGTATATTTATTTCTAAAAATGTAATGGTAATTTTTCATTTCCGGTGTCAAATTTCCTATTAAGTAGTAATTCTCAATTTCGGAATTCCATAATAATTCCGGTTTTTAATAAAAATAATCATAAACGTCTTTATTAACAAAAATGAAATTATATGGACGAAGTCTAGCTACATAGCTATTCACACTCAACCCACAATAAAATTAAAATTATAAAATCTTTTCTTTGTGTAAACAAATTAGTTGTAAATGTTTTTCACGATCCCAGTCAATAACTGCGTCTCCCATTGTCGAATACTCGGTAAAAAATAAAAATCACAGATGGACGCCCGAAATTAAATGAGATCCTTCCAAGTGTCCGGTACAATGTCCGCCGAAATGCACGCCGTTTGCTCCTTTTGATGTACCGACACCCGTCGGAAAAAGAACGCGTGCGCTCTAGCATAGGCAGACGCCCGCTCTGGCGTACAAGCTAGCCGTTCGGCGCTCCGCGCTCCTTAATAGGCCTAGGCTAGCAGTACTTGTTGGCTTTATTATTTATAAATCTACCTATCTCACAATTTTCACTTAATATCTGTTTAATTATATATGTTCGCGAACATTTTGTTCGCTTAGCTTGGACGCGGCTTAATGTATCCCTTTACAGCGCGTTCAGATGGAGTGGAGCGTCCGCGCTGTTTTTGTGCTGCTTGTTTTTTCAAGATAGCCGTCAGACGAAATCATTCGGACGGAGCATACGCGACTCATGTGAAATTGTTCATTTAAACTCATGGAACTCGCGGATGGTCCGCGCGCGGATGGTCCGCGCGGACGCTCCGTCCATCTGAAAGCGCTGTTATAGGAAAACAAACCCGTCGCTAGCAAATCAGACCTTTAATTTGCCTTGACCCAAGTCTAATAGCAACATTTAAAAATTTTTAGTATCATTAGCTTGCGAAAGTTTTAAATAAGTACTCATTGATTCCTCATCAAAAAAAAATAAAAAAAGTTCTCATAAACATGGGTATGGAAATGCATAGTTTTAGAGTTACAGGATGCTGACAATTTTTAAAATTTATTTTTTTTGTAGTTATCTTAAATACCATTATTTTTTTATTTGAAATCGGTGAAGGTTGGACTAATAGTAATTATATTTAATAATGAATTAGATAAAATATACAACTTATTAACTTTATTTTTATTTTAATTTTATTAATTGTGATTAATAAAATTGCGTTCATCAAGCAGGCCGAATCCGACAAAATATCAAGATGCAACTTTTAATTGGCATTAAAAAATATTCCAATGTTAACACATATGCCCTGATAAATGTATCGACACTTTTTTAGCATTAAAATATGTAGCATTTATAGTAACTTTTACCCTCAAAATTTAATTTGAATCACTAAAATTATTAATAGAAAATTATAATAAATCAAAAGATTATTAAGACTTTAACATCGTGTAGCTACGAAACAAAGTAGAATCGAACCTATGTTGATATGAAAAATAAATCTTATTTTTACGTAAGGAATCTCTCCACGAGAGATGATGGCATATGTTTTCTGAAACACCCTGTATATTTTAATGTAAGGAATAAGACACTTCTTTGGAAAATTATATCTTTCAATAATATATTACTAATAAAATGTATATAAAATTAGAGTATTTGTGGGTATAGAAAGTAGCACTAGTAGACATTTTTTTTAATTTGACGTTTTTTCCTTTCTTGTATTATCGACTGGTTATTTGAAAATAAAAAAAACATTTAAAATTGATTTACTGTAGGTACTATAAATTACAAATTTTTAGAGTCCAAAGAACTGAAATGTATAAGCAACGTAAAATTCCCAATAAAAAATCTAAAAGAAACGCAATATGATGGGGCATTTAGTTGCAAACTGTGTGATAATAAAGAATTAGGAGAGATCGATACCGTTATAGAGCATTATGAAAAGTATCACCTTGAAGACTTACAATGCATCCTTTGTCTTAGGACATTTACCAAACACGTACCATTATTTCATATTGGTTTACATTCTAAAAAAAGCTATGTGTGTAGACCTTGTCGGCTGCTGTTTCGAACTAAAGAACAGTATGACGATCACAACATGAAGTATGACCATGATAAATCTTTATCTTGTCGAATATGTGGGAAAAGCTTTACACGAAACTACAAAAAGGTTTGAGATTATATTTATTATTAATATGTATTATTACAATGATTATTCCCATTTGAAGGAATTTTGAAATAAATGTATTTACTTTATCATTCAAGTCTACAGTTTGGAAAGGTTTTGTAATAATAATATAGGGTGATTCACGGCGATGCGATGGCACGTTAGATGGAGAACCGGTGATAGAATTTTTTTTGAAAATTTGGAGTTTTACATAAAGGCACCTGCTCCATTTTTCTAAAATATTTTCAGCATTATAGTGTTGCCGCATAATTTGATAAGCGGTAGCATCTTTCTTATTTTAAATGGAACGCTCAGTATATTATTACATTTTAATTACAACCTATACCTATCTCTAATCGTTTTTGAGTTAAAAAATAAAACGTGTAAAATTAACAAAAACGTGATCGTGAATAAGCATTGGTAAAATCATGAATTAAAGATTTTTAAAGTTGAAATTTTGGTTATAAGTTAACGAAATTCGATATACTCGATCTGTCTAAATGCTATGAGAATTACAATTAAAATACTATGGGATATTACACAAAAATGTATATTATTTAAAAAATCAAAAGGCTATTAAAATTACTTTTCAACGATATATCATGTTCCTATACCTAAACCTTCCGGTTTCTTAAGTAGAACTAATTAAAAATTAATAATTATTCTTTTATTATAGTTTCATTTCAAGAATTTCGTTACCATGACAATTTTAGAAATTTAGCACGTAAACTCTAAAGGTGCGTATTCACTTGCAACCAAACGCGCCGCGCACTCCTAACAATCTGCAACAAAACATTTTCCGGGCGCGCTCTGAACGACCTTAAGGTGGGTATTCACTTGCAACAAAACACTGCGAACGAACCAAACGCGCCGCGCGCGCTGTAACAAGTTTGTGTAGTCAGTACGTTGCGCCGAACCGAACGCGCCAAACATTTTCCGAAGCTTGTCGGTAAACGGGATTTGCTCAAAAGAATTTGTTCGTTGGCCGGTGTTCAGTGGATACGGCAGTTTTGAACGTTCGTTGTGTTTGTGGTGTTTTTAAACTGTGCCTAGCTATGGAGTGGAACAGAGAAAAGTGGTTAGAGTTAATTGATGTGTTTGAAAGGCGGTCTATTTTATTAAATTAATAATTAATTATTAAATTAATTAAATTCTTCTTATGCATATAATCTAAGTCACTAAGTAAGGCCATTGACGGCGCTAAAAGAGGCGTCTTGCCCACATTTTTCGTCCTTTCCTTTTTTTCTCTTTTTTGTTACCCGCTAATGCCTCTATAATTAAAAAAGCACCAGCGGCTATGGTAATATCAGAGCATCCTTATCGACAAACACACTAACACTGATTCACACACTGGTTACTGGTGGTAACGCAGCGAACACCGCAAACAGGCGGAACGCTCCGAGCAAAATGTTTTGTTGCAGGTCGTTCGGAGCGCTCCCGGAAAATGTTTTGTTGCAGATTGTTTGGAGTGCGCGGCGCGTTTGGTTTGTTCGGAGTGTTTTGTTGCAAGTGAATACGCACCTTAACAAAACATTTTGCGCGGAGCGTTCCGCCTGTTTACGGTGTTCGCTGCGTTCCCACCAGTAATCAGTGTTAGTGTGTTTGTCGACATGGATGCATCTGATATTACCATAGCCGCTGGTGCTTGTTTAATTATAGAGGCATTAGCGGGCAACAAAAAAGAGAAAAAAAGGATATATTATTCGCAATTGCCTATATATTATTATCAATTGCCACCCAAGCATCTTGCTTCTTTCATTTGTCGGATTCCATAAAATAGGCTGCCTTTCAAACTCATCTATTAACTCTAAACACTTTTTTCTGTTCCACTCCATAGCTAGGCACAGTTTAAAAACACTACAAACACAACGAACGTTCAAAACTGCCGCATCCACTGAAAACCGATCAATGAATAAATTCTTTTGGGCAAATCCCGTTTACCGACAAGCTTCGGAAAATGTTTGGCGCGTTCGGTTCGGTTCGGCGCAACGTACTGACTACACAAACTTGTTACAGCGCGTTCGGCGCTTTTGGTTCGTTCGGAGTGTTTTGTTGCAAGTGAATACCCACCTTAATAGTACGAGAGCTAGCAACGTCGGGGTAAGAAGTATTTTAAGAAATTAGGCTCTTTGATATATCTTTACTTTTGTTACTATGCTATCTGGCTGCCGGCAAACGTTGCGTTCATTACTGCGCATTGAAGATCCTATATTTTTTATTAATCCTTTAAAATTCTAGTATTGAATATAAACCGAACGAGTCTCCATAACGCGGCGCGAAAAGGTTCCGCCTATGAAGCGAGGAGTCGGAGTTCTAGACCGGTTCGGGATATAAAACTTTTTTATTTTATTGTCGTTTATGTTCTGATAGTAAAGTATTAAATAATTCTGGTGATTCAAAAAAACAAATATTTAATACTTTACTATCAGAATATAAACAAAAATAAAATAAAAAAGTTCTATATCCCGAGCCGGTATCGAACTCGGACTCCTCGCTTCGTAGGCGAAAAATATGGCTCCGCGCTATGGAGACGCGTTTGGTTTATATTTATTACTATAATTTAAAGGACTAAATAAATAAATATAGGTTCTTCTTTCGATGCGCAGTAGTGAACGCAACGTGTATCGGCAGCCAGACGGCACGCATGCTGTTCCAGAGAGCATAGTAAAGGATATATCAAAGAGCCAGCTTTCTTAAAATACTGTTGCGGACCCGTGTGTATTCGGCCTAACCTGACTAATATGCCCCGCTCCCATTCGAGAACGAATGGAATAATCTGGAGAGACAGAGAACGGCGGCTAAGAAAATTCGAGTAAAATCTGGACTGTCTGTTTCTCTCATATACAGGGTGTAGATGTTCTCTATGGGTATCTCGGAAACTACTGGAGATAGAGACTCGGTTAAATGGGAAAAGAATTGTAGTTTTGTGGGGTCATAAATATGCGCCTTTCATATTTTTGAAAAAGTTCATGGCTTACTAGATATTTCGAAAAAAACAAATTTCGGCTATTTTAAAAATTGTCCCTAATTTCATTATAAGCTATTTTAGACAAAAAGTTTTCAGATAAAAGTTGTAGATAATCACATCCTTAATGAGACCGTGTCCTCCGTTTTTTTCTAAAGCCGGTCATTTTTGACATATGACACAAATATAGGTTTTTTTAAATGGAAACCATAGTTGGCCATGACTTCATAAAAAGCGCCATTTTTAAACTTTTTAGTGATATAAGCTATAATAACTTTTCTTCGAAAAATTTCTGAGTTATAGCCAATTCTTATCATTTTTAAACAATTTCACTTAGTTAGCCATGGAAACAAGTTCAATCGCCGTTGCTCTCAGAAATGTGAAGCTGTCACATCCAAACTTTATAAATTAAAATAAAAAAAATTGTAAATATGAATTTTTCAAATGAAGGAAAGCGTGAAGATACTCGCGCATCAGTAGAGTGGTTCCAACATGATTTTCATTATGACACACCACACCCCACCCCTCATAATGAAAGAAATGTTAAAAATTATTTATATCACAAACGCAGGGATAGGAAGAGGTGGACTAATTGCATGGGCCTCCTCGATCATCTGACCTATCCATTTTAGATTTTTTTATGCGGTATAGTTAACAATATAATAAAGTAAATAAAGCAAATAATATAATGAAGGTCAATTGAATAAAAATGACGGAGTTGTTGTTTATATAAAATCGGAATTTAATTATAAACATTCTATAGTTTCTTTAGGTAATACAAAGATATTAGAATTAATTATTAAATATAAAAACATCGAAAATATTTGTATATCTGCTATTTATAAGTCTCCTAGTATTAACGAATTAGATTTTATTACAAGCCTTGAGAGGTATCTTTCTCAAAAAAAGAAGTTACACTCACACATTTTAGTTGGTGATATAAATATTAATTTATTTGATGAAAAAGATTATGTAGAACACTATAAAAATATATTGGCATCTTTTAACTTCAACTCATACATTAATAAGATAACTAGACCAAGATCCGGTACATGCATTGATCATTTCTTTGTAAAATGTTCAACGGAAATATCAAGGAGAATAAAATCTTTTATTTTTGAACATGATATAACAGATCACTATCCAATTGCTATATCTCTACCTATAGAAGTAAACAAACCGAAAAATAACCTATGTAAATCTAAATACTATACCAATTACACATTATTAAAAGAAGATCTCCGGAAGGAATCCTGGAATGATATATATACAGAAAATAATTCAAACAAAGCTTTTCAGATTTTTATGCGAAAATTAACATTGTATATCGACAAAAATAATAAAAAAGTTGAAATTAAAAGGTCTAAAAACACTCATTTTATAAAAGAGTGGATGACTTCTGGGCTTCTTAAGTCAATAAATATAAAGAATAAATTATATAATAAATTAAAACTACATCCGACAAATCAAGAATTAAAGACAACTATAATAATTATAAGAATAAAATTAGGTCACTAATAACAACTGCAAAGAAAAATTACATAAAAGAGAGAATTTAACAAAACAAAGAGACATCTTCTTCTCTATGGAAGTGTATAAATAAAATATGTGGTAAAACACAAAAAAATAAAGATATAAATACAATTAAAACCGAAGAAGGTCACGTATATACTGATAAATTAAAGATAGCTAATGCGTTAAATGATCATTATTGTACTGTCGCAGAAAAACTAGCGGTTAAAATATCTTCAACAAATAATACCTGTGATATAAACCGTCTGGAAAACAGTCTGTATTTACGTCAAACTTGCGAAGACGAAATAATAAACATAATAAAAATCTGAAAAATAAAAAGCTCCTGGTTATGACAATATTAGCTCGGATATTATTAAAATAATTTCGGGAGATATATCAAAGCCTTTAACGTTTTTGATAAATTATTGTATCGAAAGTGGTTGTTTTCCGGACTGTCTTAAAGTAGGTGTAATTAAACCATTATATAAAGGGGGTGATAAGGAGCATATAGGCAATTATAGACCGATATCTATATTATCAGTTTTTTCTAAAATTTTTGAAACAGTTATAAAAAAACGCTTGTTAAAATTCTTTCTAAAATTTAACATAATATCAAAAAATCAATTTGGTTTTTTAGAAGGCAAATCAACACAGGATGCCGTTCATGCATTGACATCATCAATCTATGATGCTCTAGACTCGGGACATCGAAGCCTCTGTATATTCGTAGATCTCGCTAAAGCATTTGATACGGTAAATCACAAAATACTTTTAGACAAATTAGAGAGATATGGAATACGAGGAAACAGCCTTAGTATTTTAAAAAGTTACCTTAAGAACAGATCACAATATGTTAATTTGGGAGATATTAATAGCAAGCCAGGAAGGATTGAGCATGGTGTACCACAAGGCACTGTGTTGGGTCCGTTATTATTTGTTATTTATATTAATGATTACTTACAATTAATACAAAAGCAGAAATTTTTAGCTACGCAGACGATACAGCGATATTTTATAAATCTAACTCTTGGTCGAATTTGAAAAGATTAGCAGAGGAAGACTTTCAGACAATTAATACCTGGTTTATCAAAAACAAATTAACATTAAACTATGACAAAACCAAATATATATCCTTCTCTATTTATAAAAATAATGAACCAGATTGGGACAGATTACAAATAACCAATAATAATGTAATACCGGAATGTGATTTTATAAAATATTTAGGGGTTACAATCGACAAACATCTTAAATGGAATATTCATATTAATAATGTAACTAAAAAATTGCGAGGATTGTTGCCGAAATTTAATTATTTGAAAAGTTTTTTGGACGTCAAACAGCTTAGAATCCTGTACTCATCCCTTGTACAATCTCATTTGACATATGGAATTCTAGGGTGGGGTGGTGCGGCTGAATGTCATTTAAAGAGCTTGTATTCTGTTCAAAAATGGTTCATAAAAATTATTTACAATAAAAAGAAAACTTTCTCTTCAAACGTTCTCTTTAAGCAGGCGCATCTACTGGATATACGTCAGCTATACTGCCTAGATGTTTTAAAATTCATTTATCAGGGGAAAATATCTATTGAACATGTTGACCATGAATATGAAACTAGACATAAGGCGTTTTATCCTAGTTTATGCTCTAAAACTTTGGACAAAGATCTTCAAAGTTTTTTTGCACCTCGGTTATATAACATCTTACCAACCTTCCTAAAGGATGTTAAAAGTTACTCTGGTTTTAAAAAAGGGGTATGCAAATGGATGGTTGATCGAGGTAGAGATATATTTAATGACCTAGTTAACTTAAAATATACAAAATAAATTTTCATAAGTGCCAGTGAACATTATATATTGTCATAATTAAATTGTATTCCTTTCCACATACAAGTAATTCTATTACTTTGTGGTAATTCTTTTAACGTTTATTTTGATTCTTAAAATTTAAATATAGTCTTAGTTAAATTGTACCTAGATAATGTGTATTAGATATAGTAGCATATTATGTTGTATATTACTGTACTATTTTATATCTGTTTTAATTTCAAGAAAAATGTTTAATAAACGTTATTATTATTATTATTAATAAGGTTTACAAAAGAACTTAGGAATTAAGAGAGGCACTCGAAGTGGCGGTACGATAAAAGTTTAATTAAGTCGACCGGTCCTTCTGTGAGAATAGGTAGTAATTCAGTTTTAAAAAGATACAACTCAAAACAATGGCTAAAATAACTTAAAGTGTATGTAGTAATATTATTTTTTTAATTTTTAGTTTGTGTAATGTAAATTGTAAAGAACCGTGTAGTAATATATTCTGACTTTATAAGTTATAAACTCGGTTATAAATCATAACAGAATAAGAATACCATGCAATCTAAGTGAAATTAGTCAAGAAAGAATTGGCTATAACTAAATTTAACTCTTCTAACATATCTTGAAAACCGTTCTCTAAAAAACGTAACATTTACAGGTCAACGTATCCTCGAAAATGTATTTTCCAGGAAAAGTTGAACCAATGATCCTACACGCTTTTCTTCATTTGAAAAATTCATATTTACAATTTTTGTTTATTTTAATTTACAAAGTTTGGATGTGACAGCTTCACATTATTTATGAGAGTAAAGACGATTAAACTTGTTTCCATGGCTAACTAAGTGAAATTCTTTAAAAATGATAAGAATTTGCTATACCTCTGTAATTTTTCGAAGAAAACATATTATAGCTTATATCGCTGAAAAGTTTAAAAAATGGCGCTTTTTATGAAGTCATGGCCAACTATGGTTTCCATTTAAAAAAACATATGTTTGTGTCATATGTAAAAAATTACAGGATTTAGAAAAAAACGGAGGACACGGTCTCATTAAGGATGTGATTATCTACAACTTTTATCTGAAAACTTTTTGTCTAAAATAGCTTAAAATGGAATTAGAGACAATTTTTAAAATAGCCGAAATTTGTTTTTTTCGAAATATCTAGAAAGCCATGAACATTTTCAAAAATATGAAAGGCGCATATTTATGACCCCACAAAACTGCAATTCTTTTCCCATTTAACCGACTCTCTATCTCCAGTAGTTTCCGAGATACCCATAGGGAACATCGTAGGTAACTCACCCTGTATAACCCGACGCCTGGGGCCTGAGGAGGACAGAAACAAACAGATCGGTCGACGCTTAAAGTTGCTGCGCTAAATTCAAAGTAAATTCCTTAGCCTTTATGCAGAAATCCAAATTTTCCAAAAAATCCTATCACCGGTTCTCCATAAACGTTTAACGTGCCATGGCCGTAAATCACCCTGTATAAAAAACATAAAACATGTATAATTTCAAAAATAAATAAATAAAAGTAAAGTAGTAATAATAGTAAAAATGTATAATTTTAATAAATAATATTTATTGGGATATTTTTTAGAATAAGCATATGCTGAGCCACTTAAAAGAAAAGAATTATTCTTGCAGTAAATGTGGGAAAACATTTACTTATAAGACAAGTTTGGTAAGACATTTTAAAATTCATTTTGGTAAAAGATTTCTTTGTTCTTCTTGCGGAAATGGTAAGTCATGTGTTTTCTATATTAAGATATATTATTGTGATTAACTTAATTTCAGCGTACACCACTAAGTTTATGTTACAAAGACATTATAATATAATGCATAAAAATGTGGATGTTGATGGAAAACCACTACCAAAACCAGTAAGTTTTGATATTTTAATTTATGCAACAGTAACCATTTTATGCATTTTTCATTTATACCGGGTGCGTCTGAAAAGTAGCTCACACTTATAACTTATTTTAACACTTATTATTTATTTTTTCAGATAAAAAATCGAGATTTGGTATGTTAGTATTTGACATAAATTAGGATTGATTGACGCATTCAATTGTTTTTGGTCACTTCCTGTTTCACCGGAAATGGACTATAACTTTTCATTTTTTAATTTCATAGAAAATCTCACTCTCAATAGAATGACATATCATATGTCAACTTTTGACATTTTCGCTTTAAAAAAAGTCGTATTTTATATTTCAATCTAGAGTATGCTGTGTTAAAAACATTAATTTTTAATCAAGGAGCCTTGGAAAAGTACTTTGATCGTCTAATGTTTTTCGAGTATTGTCCTAACCGGTTAAAAGATGCTTAAATCGTATTTCTAATCATATCCCAATTTTTTCAAATGAAACGAGTGTAGCTTGTGTAGCTCATTAGCATATTTGGAAGGAACATTTTTTACAAATATTTTGGTGCCACACACTTGGTATTTCGAGTCAAGTCATCGTTATGAACCGCATGTTCCAATAAACCATATGAGAAAATATCAAAAGTTGATATATGATATGTCATTCTATTTAGAGTGTTATTTTCTATCGAATTAAGTAAAACAAATACCCAGGGTGCCATTTAAAAATCAAACGTTGTAGTCATTTCCGGTGAAACAGGAAGTTACCGAACACATTTTGAATATGTCAATCAATTCTGATTTATGTCATATACTAACGTACCAAATCTCGTTGCTTTATCTGAAAAAATAAAAATTATTATTACATATATTATATTATTATTGTCGACTTCTTTCGGCCTTTTATGCGTTATTATTGTCGACAATAATGTAAAAAATTATATTGTCTTAAAATGGGGGGCTTTAAAAGTATATAAGACCTATAGGCTTGGTGCTTTCTCCGCCGGTGCTGCCACTATCGGAGAATATCGTAAAAAATTAGCATATACAAATACATGGGTTTAAATAGCGAGAATATGAAAAATTTATTATATAGTTATTCTAAAAGTGTTAGGAAGTATAATTTGTGAAAATTCTAACAATAAAAATAAAAAAGTAAATATTTTGATGTCTTCAGAAGGTCTAACTTGTATTATAATTTATTATTCCAGTTGAAAAAAAACTCTTTAGATGAGTTAGACCCTTGTATATGAATTTTTAAAGTAGCTCAACCTAAGACGTTTATGGATGTAAAGCACCAGATGGCGGAGCGTATTTCACAGTCTTTTACTACAGAAAAATATTTTTTGTTACTCTGAATTTTGAAGCGACCAATAAAAACAGAGAAAATAAAAATCGATAATTTTCGGACTGTACCAATTGGTTACTAATCGACCAGATACTTTTACAGTTAGTTATAATGTTTAGTGTAGAATACCAGAAATACTTTAGTAGTAGTGCTTTTATAGTTTATTTTGTTGTTAAGTAGTAGGTGAAGGGATAATTTGGTTATTTTTTCTTTTTGTTTGATTAATTAGTAAGTTTGATAAGTTTTTCAGTGTAGAATACAAGAAGTAGTTGTGTAGTGTTTTTATAAGAGATTATAATCGTTTATTTTGTAGATGACTAGTAGGTGAAGGTATTTGGGTATTTTTTCATTTTGTTTTTCTTCTAATTGTAGTAATTCTATTAAGGATTGTGATAGATACACTATATCTTCCTTCAACTTCGTTGAAAAGTGCGTTATCATATAAATTTGATTTTCTGGTAGTAGAATATACGAAAAAAAAATCTGATCAAATTTATTTTAAATTAAATTAATCGAGTCTTATTTATCAAATTAATCTAGTCAAATAATAATAATAGTTAGTTTCTAAATACTATACGGGGTGAGTTTCCTACGATGTTCTCTATGGGTATATCGGAAACTACTGGAGAGAGTCGGTTAAATGGGGAAAGAATTGCAGTTTTGTGGGGTCATAAATATGCGCCTTTCGGATTTTTCGGAGAAGTTCAAGGCTTTTTAGATATTTCGAAAAAAACAAATTTTGGCTATTTTAAAACTGGTCTCTTATTCCATTATAATCTACCGTAATCATCGAATAAAAACGGCGTCAACGATGGCTATGAAATGAAGATCGCTGTCATTTTATATGTAAAATTATATGGGAAATATCATCGATCGTCATTTCATAGCCATCGCTGACGCCGTTTTTATTCGATCATACGGTATTTTAGACAAAAAGTTTTCAGATAGAAGTTGTAGATAATCACATACCTAATGAGTTTGTATTTTCTTTTTTTTTCTAAAGCCTGTCATTTTTTACATATGACACAAACATGTTTTTTTTTAAATGGAAACCATAGTTGGCCATGACTTCATAAAAAGCGCCTTTTTTTAAGCTTTTCAGCGATATAGGTATATGTTTTTTTCGAAAAATTACAAGTTATAGCCAATTCTTTTCTTTCTTGGCTAATTTCCATACCAATAATACCATGCTAATTAGTTGGCATCAAAAATGTAAAAAGTTTTGTTTTCAAAAAAAATATCGTAAAATTCGTAAAGCAATTTAGAATAAAATAATCTAAGAATGAAATGATTCTTTTATAAACCTGCATTAAATCCAATTAAAATAGGTATGTAACTTTTTTTTTAAATATTAATTAACAGCAATTAGCATTATCATAAATTATAAATAATGTACCAACATATCGAAATAATAATTTCTTTGTTAATACGGTTTAGAATTCTTAAAATAACAGGCAAAAATAATACACAATTTACAATAAAATAAAAGTTTCGTTTAAATTTCATAATCAGCTGATCACTATTAAAGTTCGCAGAAACCCGGGGCTATATTATTACATTACTCTGAGGAAAATAACGAAAATAATCGATATTTTTGACTCCGCCCCAAAAGGTCACGATTTGTCCTCCAGTTGGCAGCACATTTGGTCTAGTCGGTTGAGCAACTTTAAGAATATATAAACAAGGGTTAGACGGTAGCGAGCATAGTTTTAATCACCGGTTTTGCTAATGGGGCATATTTTTTTTAAAGGTACATAATTATAATTTGAGAAGATGCTCATAAAACATTTAATCACTAGTTGATTAAAAAAAGTATACCATTAATATTGCAAACTATATTTTATCCTCTCATAGTATATATCTATTTAATTTTTTGATTATGTAACGAGCATTTTTCATTTCATCCATTTTTGCTATTGATCAAATCAGTGTGAGAATGAGGCAATAAAATGTTGTTTCGGAAGAGTTGGATATCCGGAAAAGTTGAGTTATTGAATGGTATTGGACCTAACAACGCCTTAATTACGCTCTCCTTTACGTGTAACCATTTTTTCGGCAATTGTATTAACATTTGAAATTGTCACAACACAACACAACGCCTAGTTCGAATTCTTAGTGAAAACTTATTTTTTACTACCCGAAACAGCGTTACATCACACAAACCTCGTACCTGAGTGTTTTATAGTCTCAATAACTACACTAGCAAAAAACTAAAATACTTAAATATTATGACAAAACCACGATTTCGATATTACTTTAATGCGATCAACGTGACGGCGCGGCGCAGCGGCGGCGGCGGCGTGAACTATATACTGATAATTTCTGATTTTTGCCGTCGAAGCGCTGCGGTCGAAATTTTTTGAAATCAACTGAAATGCACGAAGCCTATAACATCGAAGTATGTCACAAAAGTTAAAATTTAATATCACAGAATTTCTCAAAACTTTAAAACACCATCTAACAAAAGGAGCGACATTGCTGCGTAGATATATGGCATATTGTTTTAAAACTTCATTTGTTGTTCCTGTTGAAGTACGTTGGTTTTAATGATGAGTATGACATATACTTTTCATTCTAAACAACTTTTTTATGTATTTTGAAAAGTTAGATCACTTTACTCTTCAATGAATTTCATATTTTTGAAGCTACCCCGAATATCGAATGAAATACCTACTTCAATATTGACTAGTTTATTTATAGTTTGACGGGTGACAGAGACTTTTATTAAGAGTAAAGATTTCTGAGGAATTTAAAATTAAAAAATCTAGGTGTCTAATTTTATGAACAGGCTTGTTTTGTAACATTTTGTAGCCTCCAAAGCCAGTCCATCTCCAGTGTGAATTCTGTGGTGAGGTATTTACAACCAAGTATGGTTATGGTAGACATATTCGAAGACATCCCGAGTTCAATCAACATAAATGTAAAATTTGCTCTGCCATGTATGATAACAAGGTAAATTCTAATGTTATTTGTTACTATTGTTACAACGAAATTTTTAGGATCAGTTGGATGAACATATGGAAATTAAACATAATAAATATACTTGTGAAGTATGCGGAAGACGTTTCCCATTTGAAAGCGAACTCAAAACACATTTTAGAAAACACGAAGATATGGAAATGGCCAGATTTCGGTTGGATTGAATAACAGAATATTATAAAATACTTCAAAATATTTTTTTAGGTGTGAAATATGCGGAAAAACTGCTCGTACCTCAACGCAGCTGAAAGTTCATTTGAGGATTCATACAGGGGAACGGCCCTTTTCTTGTAAAATTTGTGGGAAATCATTTAAACAAACTGCCCATCTAAAGGTAATGTAATTTTTCACTTTTTGATTTTGTTCCATTTTTCAGATTTCGACATACATCGAGAAAATCACAAAAAACAATGTATTTTTTAATTACCCCATCATTAATATTTTATAGTACGAGAGCTAGCAACCTCGGGAAGAAAATCCTATATTTTTTATTTAGTCCTTTAAATTCTAGTATTGAATATAAATCGAGCAAGTCTCCATAGCGTGACGCGAAAAGGTTCCGCCTATGAAGCGGGAAGTCCGAGTTCGAAACTTTTTTTATTTTATTTTCGTTTATATTCTGATAGCAAAGTATTAAATATTTGTTTTTTTTTAATCACCACAATTATTTCTTCGGAAGTCTCGACGGGATATCAGTCGTCTCGGGGGTGTTTTACAACGGTTGTTACTACGACATGTTGCGGGTTGCGGGGAAGTCAAAGTCTGCTGCCTTGTATAATCTGTTTATATGTGTTGACTTCATGCAGCCAGTTATTATTCTGCACGTCTCATTCAGAGCCACATCGACTTGCTTAACATGGACAGATCTGCACCAAACGGGACAAGCATGAAAAACCAGCTGAGAAACATAAGGCTTGTGCTCTTGTCCTTAGAGTTGTCGGATTAGCGCCCCACCTACTTCCACAGAGCTTTTTCAGCAGGTGATTTCTTTTGGTGACTTTGTGTATGGTTTTTTGACAATAGTGCTTGTAAGCAGGGTTGGGTAGGTAGAAAATTTCATATATTGTTTTCTACATGTTTCTACATGTTTTTTTTTGCTGTAAAGGGAAAAATCTTCAAAAGTCACCTGTGCGTTGTTAAGTTCAGGTAGTGTGGGATTTTTACCCACACTACCCGTTTGTCGCTCCACTGCGCGCACCCAAAAAAGGTGTCTTCCACGTGGTCGCAGTAGTAACATCTTGGTGTGTTGGTTAATTTGAACCGACAGAAATATGCTTCAAAGCACCCATGGCCCGATAGGATTTGTGTGAGGAAGTAATTTACCTCGCCACGTGTTCTTTTGATTCAGGGTTCGTTGATCCATGTGTTCTTTTGATCATCAGGTATCAAACGCTTGGTCCATTGCCCCACATTTGTTTCCAGCTCCCAACTTTTCTGCCATAGTTCTAAAGTTAATTCCCTTTCTTCCAACTTTCCCCTCTTGTCCCTTCTCTACGCTCTGCCTCGCTCACCTGCCTGTAATGCAATTGCTATGGTTCCTGAAATTACCATCAGCACTTGTAGAAATTGTGCGGAAGGAACTGCATATTCGCATAGCAACCCTCCTCTGCACTTTCTGATAGAGCTGTTTGTATTTGTCACATTTTAAGGTTTCCTGCCAGACAGGTGCCGCGTAAAGTAAAATTGAGTGGGTTACAGCACTAAGGAGTTTTCTTTTTTGCTCGGTGGTTCTGTTCGATTTCTGTTCAGCCTGGATAGTAGCAGAGCTTACCTCTCCGTCTTTTTGCACGCCTGTTTCATGTGGCTCCACTATCGAGAATAACACCCAGATATCTGACGTTAGATTTAGTTTCTATCTCCATGTGCCGAACGTCGATGGTAAGCATTCTTGCATACTTCCGCTAGTTTAGTAATACAGCCTCCGATTTTTCTGGCGCCAGTTCTAATTTTTTTACGTGCATCTACTTCGTAATTCTTTAGGAGCGGACATTTTTCGAACTTGAAAATAATTTCCAGCGATTTCTGTTGGCCGATTTACTTATTACAATTTTTTTCCCAAAGTTATACCACGGCATATAAATCACACGGCAGGCTAACTCTGCCCAGATCCCATTGTTTAAAATTTCTATAAAATTTGACCTTGAAAACACCATTATGGGTGCCGAGTCAGGGCCGGATTAAAACGTATCAAAAAATTTCCCAGAAAATAAACTATTGATAGACAGGGTCGTATTAAAAAAAAATACCGTAATTGACTGAAACTGAATTTTATTTACACAATACTTTTATCTAAACAAATGAATCGTTAACCGCGCATACTCCTCAAAAAGTAAAAATGAAAAAATCAATTAAACATTTAACTTTAGAGAATAGACAATTAAAATTAAAAAACATGCCAGGAGTTACAAACAAGAATTAAAGAAATATCCAATAAAATATCTATTGAACAATCTAAAGAGGCTACGTACAAATTATGTCCATCAATGGACATAGCAAATTTTGTTAATATTCAAATTGCACAAATTAACAAATCATTAAAGGAAGAAAAGTAACTGATGAATTTAAATATAACTGTTTGACTATATTTTTAAAAACCGAGCCGTCAAAAAAAAATTTGAGCCGTCAAATTTGACAGCTGTCAAAAAAATTTCAAAATTGTCCGATTTTGATAAAAATCGGTATATAGGATGGCCATGGGCTAAAATGAAAGAAAAAAAATTGAGCTGTTAAATTTAACAGCTGTCAAAAAAATTTCAATGATGTGCCGATTTTGATAAAAATCTATATATAGGATGGCCATGGGTTAAAATGAAAGAAAAAAAAATTGAGCTGTCAAATTTGACAGCTGCCAAAAAATTCTTAAAGTAGTCCAATTTTGATAAAAATGGATATATTGGATGCTCCCTATCCCATAGTCGGTTTTCATTTTATCTGTCTCACATTTGAACTGTCAAATTTGACAGATGTCGTTTTTTTTAAGTTCTCCTTTTTTTATGAAATCGATATACATATAATTAGGATACCCATAGGAAGTTATTTAAGAAAAAGAATTGAGTTTAAGTGTGCGGCACTGAGAAACCAGCATAGCTTAAAAAGTAAAAAATAAATTTAAGAAAAAAAACTTTTTAAAAACAAGCTTTTATTTAAATACATTAAAAAGAAAAATAATAATAAACTCTTTTTTTATAACTTTTATTATGAACTTATAACGTCATTACACAATTTTATATTATATAAAAGCTTGTCGCGAGATTTGAGTGTACAGTTGCACTCATAAAAATCTGGTATAGTCTGTGAAACGAATAACTTTGAACTTGACAGTTCCCGCAGGCTTTTCTAGTGTAAATTTTATTAGGTTAGCAACTTGCGGTCATGCTGATACAATGCCGTCTCTAATAGAACAGCCTCAGAGCGAGATTTATGACGTCACGCTAGTTAGATACTACGGATTAATAAATATGTTGTAGAATACATGAATACATGGAAAACATAATTATTCCTCGTATATGTAATTTTTTGGATTATATTCGACACTATTTTTTTCATATGACACAACACTGATGAAGGCTATAAACGTCAGCTATGACGTTTTTTTAAACTAAAAAAAATAATGAGAAACCAAATGAAAACTTAATCAGCGTTTTTCCCGAACCTAAATCCCAAGAAAATCAAAAATTTTAGAATAATTTTACATATAAAATGACAGCGATCTTTATTTCATAGCCGTCGTTGACGCCTTTTTTTCTATGATATTGTATTATTTGCAAATATAATTTTTCGAACATTGATGCTTGCAAAATATACATATAAATTTTGTGAATGCAAATAATAATATATCACTATTAGTAGATACTGAATGTTTTTTGTTAAATTAGATCGATTTTCAAACCCCAAAATTTAAAATATATTTTACATTTTACCCGTTATCTTATGTACCTATTCATTATCTGTATATTGTAAAACATTTGCTGCATTTGTATGGTTCATAGTTTTATTTGCCAAAGTATTTATTACTATAAATAGGTATATATATATATTGTATTTATTAACTATATATTATGTATATTTCATGTAAACTATATCATTTTTAAAATACAAACCAAAAATACGAGGAATAATTATATTTTCCGTGTATTCTACAACATATTTATTAATCCGTGGTATCTAACTAGCGTGACGTCATAAATCTCGCTCCGAGGCTGTTCTATTAGAGACGACGTTGGTCTGATATTTAGAAATGTCAAAGGCTGATGACATTTTACTTTTGCCAATTATGACATTTCGCGTTGATTTTTGCAAGAAGAGGAAGAACTGTCACTTATTTTATTATTTTCCTTTTCTATATCACGAAAGTAAAAGGAGTTACCTCTCTGATTCGTTCAGGCACTCATTTTAAAGAATATCAGTAACTTTTTGGATAGAGGGATTTTATATTTGCCATGTTTGTAAAAAATAACGGTCAAAATTCAAAGTTATTCATTTTATAGACTATACGACAACTTTATCTTGTAATTCTTGTAATTCCAATATCTTGTAAACCTATCATTATTCCCATCCAGGATAAGTTCATTCAGTTTAGAAGAACATTTAAAAAACTTTGTGTCCGATTATTACACACGGGTACTGAAAATTGCCAAAATGATCTGGCAAACATCTTATTAAAAACGGCAGACCTTATAAAAAACAACGAGACCTCTGTTCTTTTCTCTCTGAATTGTCATGAGCTATCCATAAAAATTAAAAATAGATACGGATAATCAGAAAAACAGTAATTTTGAAATGAATCTTGTTTGTCATTTTGCAGGATGCCTAATAAAAATTACTTTGAATGCCGTAGACAATGATTGAGTATTAAAACTAAAAGAATTTCGGACTTCCATTGTACTACTAAACTACAAAAACCAAACATATCACACAAAAAAACAAAAATAAAACTAAAAAAAACAAAATATATCACTCATGAAAAGAATGAAATAAATTAAGCCGCACGCTACTGACTCAAAGCTGCCGTAACTGTATGTTGTCGATGAAAAAGACTACGACACTGGTTAATTTCTGTCGCTGGCACCCATAATGGCGGCGTGCGCAAGGGTATGAGCGTAGCGTTCCCGCCAAAGCGAGTTGGCCTGCCGTGTGATTTATATGCCGTGGTTATACGATAAGTAGTTTCTGAGATACAGCCGGCCGCGGCGCCCATTCTTAGTTGGCTCCCGGTACATTTGCCTACATCTATGGAGAGAATTTCAACACCATTTTCATTTGTCGATCTTACTGTTGTCACTACGCTGCCCATTTCGACTAGTATTACACTGCCGTGTTTGTTATGGGGTATCT